TCATATATTTTTGCTACTAATCATAATGTTATAGTGTGAACTTTCTTAATAGTTTTCTTTGCTGTATAGGAGATCTCAGGTCTTGCATTTATGTTTTAGTCCTTCTGCATGCTTTTATTTAAAGAGATTGCCCTTCTAATTATCTGTTGTTTGCACCTTTTTCAAAGATGGATTACTCCTGGAGTTTGAATTTTCTTTTGGCTTTCTGTTCACTTACTTGTGCAATGTTTTGTGTCAGTACTGTCATGTTTTGTTTACATACAACAGCTTCTGTTTCATAAAAGTGGCATTAACTCTGGAGTTCATAAGTAGTTTGGACACTTTCAAAGCTACCTCCACATCTTGAGGAAATAATGGAATTATTTTATAGTTTGCATTGTAAGGGTTTTTGTCATTTTTGTTAACTTTATTTCCAGAATTTTAAGTGTTTACTGGACTGGGGTTGAATCTGTAGTCTCTCTTTGCTCTGTTCTTACTGCAGCAGTCTGTGGTGTGTGTAGAGTGTGTGCAGGCTCATGGCTGGCCGGCCATGGGTGTGTTGCCAGTGTCAGGGCTTCATTAACCATGTCCTTTGTGTGGGAATAGATGCAGCATCCTTGTTTTGCAGCAGCAGAAGATAGGGAGGTACCTTTCGCCTTTTCATTACTTAGGACGTGCATGTGTGACCTGCATCTTGTGCTGTTTACCCACATCCACCAGTTACTGACAATGCTGGTTAACCCCTCCCACCTTCTGTGCATGCGTGTGAACACACACACACACACACACACACACACACACACACACACACGTTCTACAGCACTTGCATGCTCAAAGCCTACAACCTGGGGGGAAATAACTCAGCAGTTCATCTTGCTTGAGTTTTTGTTTTCTTTTGCTTTGTTTTTGTGTTTTCTTGTGTTGAAGATTGAACCACAAACTTTAATATAATGTGTTTTCTATCACAGTCTGTATTTAAACATTTTAATTATTCCCTCAGTTCTTTTTAACAGGTGGTTTCTCCCCTATGGGATCTGATCAACATTGTGTATTGCATTGGCTTGGCATGGCTTTGTATCCTTAGAGGCATGTAGAGCAGGGAGGCTGTGGCAAGCTTCTGCGTGAGGCCTGTGGTAAATATGCTCTGTGGATGATGTACTTCCTGTTGCGGTCACTCAATTCCAGTGGTTCTCAAACTCTGGGTCACGCCCCCTTTGAGGTTGTTGAGTGACATTTTCACAGGGGTCGCCTAAGACCATCAGAAAACACAGATATTTATGACATTCATAACAGTAGCAAAATTAACAGTGATGAAGTAGCAACAAGTAAATTTATGATGGGGGCTCAACACAGCATTAGGGACTGTATTAAAGGATTACAGCATCAGGAAGGTTGAGAACCAGGGCTGCTCTGTAGGTAAACATGTGCGTGGGGCTGTAGGAAGCTGGATTTATAAATTTAGGCAAACCATGCTTGTGTCCTGATCTCAACTGGATTTCCAGCTCTTTCTTTTTCCTCTGATTATTGTTAGACCTCTCTAACCCAGGACAAATGTCTGAGGTTGTTAGGTTTTCCCAGCATCCCTCAGTCCTTACCTGGTACAGAGTATGGCTGCTATGCCTTGCCCCTTCCCTAAACTAGCTCAGGGCCTGGGCTGTCTTCCAGCAGTTGGCCTTCCTTCTATAATCCGGCCCTTTGGTTGCCTGCCCTTTTGTCCACCCTTTACTTTCCTTCCCTCTCTTATCTCCTCAGTGGGAATAGGTCCTGTCCCCGCCTCCAGCTATGCTCTTTTATCTGCACCGAGCCTCCTCCACCATACCCAGGAGCAGTCATGTCCTCTTTTTCCTCCTCCTCCTCCTCCTCCTCCTCCTCCTCCTCCTCCTCCTCCCCCTCCTCCTCCTCCCCCCTCCTCCCCCCCCCCTCTTACTACTACTATCTGGTGCTGAAACTGACAATAGAAACCGGGAACCTTCCTGCTAGACAACTATTATTTTGAAGAATCAGACCAGGCTTCTTGTCAGAATGTCTTAAGCTAGATTTAAAAAAAAAAAAAGTTTCCACATTATTTCTTAAGGTTAAAAATGTCCAAGTGAGCTCTTAAGAATTCTTTCCACTGTAGAACTGGAAACCTGGCCCCTAGAAAAAGATGCTAGTGCACTGAAAGTAAAATTTTCCCTCCTCCTCTCCACTAATGGCTCTACATGCAATAATACTGCCCACAAAATGGACAATAAAGTCTTTTTGACATAAGGATTTTTACCCATAGACTATTTTGTATGAGTGTTTATGTTCATAGAAGTCATTGAAGCTTGGCAGGGAAGGGTAGTGAAAATAATTTAGGTATAGGTACTGTAGTCAGATGCCATCCCCTAGCCTGAAAACCAAATGTTTACATGTCAGGGTCATAGATAAAGTGAAATGAGAACCCTTTGCTGCATCTGAGCTGTTGGCATCCTGTAAGGATCAGCTGTAGACTGTGCCCAGCTGTCCTGTTGGAAAGCTCCAACTTGTTCACACAGGAAGTACATGCCATCTTCTGAAGTTACACTGTTACCTTGGCTGTCAGGAGAGGAGCCAAAGTGAAAGTGTTTTATTGGCTCTTTGGAGTTTGGGGATTTTTTTGTTGTTATTGTGTTTGTTTGTTTGTTTGTTTGTTTTAATTTGGATATCTGTGGTGAAGAAGTACTATTTTACCATCTTGTATTTGAGGCAAAGGTTTTCTTTGTAGTATGCTTTGAATAATGAATGCTCCCTGTTTGAAATTTATGAATTGTAAAATACACCAGTGTCTAGCATGTAATATACAAAACATATGTTAGACCTTATATTTTTGTTGTGTTTTGAGATACCCAATAGGCGAGGGTACCCTCAGATCTCTCGTCCTTCTGTTTTAGCCCTTGAATGGTTAACTTACATCTTACTACATAGTTGCTCATGTATCTTATTTGGTCACAGCCTTGTTGTCCCCTAACCAGAGCTGAAAGCATTGGCTGGTATGATCTGACAGGAGGGTCACAGTGCCACTTACTATGTGAAAATGTGGTCATCCTAGGTAGCTCTAGCTGCCCTGGAACTCAGTATGATTGGCCCCAAGCCCAAGAGGCCCACCTGCCCCTGTCTCTCAATTGCTGGAGTTAAGGATCTATTAAGACTGCACTCGGCCTTCTTTTTTAAAATTTACTTTAGAGAACTTCAGACAGGAAGTAGGTGAACCGCTGTGACAGATCCCCAGCTCCAAGCTTCTTCCATCTGCAGGACGACAGCCAATGCTGTTCACTCATGCACAGCCACTTCTGCTTCTTTCCCTCCTGCCATTGGAGTTCCCTTGTTAAACCCAGTCTCCACGTCTAGTTTATGGTGGTAGTTGTTAGAGCTGTTTAGAGAACAATGCTTAGGTTAATGAACACCTGAGTCTTATCTTAGATTCTTTGGTGAATGCTTGTTCAGTTTGCTTTAATGTGGAGAGAGCTGTAGGTGGGACTGAAAATAGATCTGTATATGTCACACTGTTTGGGTGTCATTCCAGTTTTTAATTTTTTTTTTCTTCATGTCTACCCAGGGATAGATGTGATAGTCCTGACTGGCACAAATTTCTGACTAATCTAAGAAATAATTTAAATTGGGGTAGAAGCGTTGAATTCAGTGTTCTTCTACAGGTTTTCATTATTCTAGATTTTTAAGTGTTTACCTTACACCTTCTTGTCATCTTGTCAGAATCAAGCAAAATTAAAGTTAAAAAGTTATGCTTTCATTGCCCCCTCCCCGCCTTGTGACAGCATCTCTTGTGCCCTAGTCTGGCCTCAGATTGGCTATGTACACAGCCCATACAGCTTTATGTTAATATTCAGTGTGTCGTCAGCTTTACTTACAGAGGCCTGAAAACAGATGAGATGGTTTGAGCATCACCGTGGTGATGGGTGAGACGTTGCTTTCCTGGCTTCTAACTTACAAAATTTAACTGTGCTTCTGATTGGGCAAAACATGAGATAATTTTTTGTTCAAGAGATATTTATTGTGTGTTTGAATGCTGGGAAGTTGGTTTTTTTGTTATACCTTCACTAAATAAAAATAAATAAATAAAGCAAATAACAGATATTTTCCATTATGGACTCATGTCTATTGAGAAACAAAATGTATTTGGACCATAAAGGAAAGCTGCTCTGTTGATACTTGATGGACATAGCTTTTTCCTCTACAGTGATTTTGAGTGACTTTTTAATTATTTCTGTGAAAAGTGTGTGAGCATTTGAGGCTTTGGGGTTACTGCATTTCTATGTGTATTTCTATGAGAAACCAGGTATTCCAGACTCAGGACAGTGTTAGCCAAAAGACACTGAATAAAAATGAGATAATTAGTGTATCTCTGCTATAGTGAGACTCCAGGATGATGATAAGTAAGTAGATGGGTGTGGACAAGGCTTTGTGTTTGCAGGCAAGGAAATAAAAATGCCCTCAGCCTTTTTCTTTGTGTATGTTCAGTACATTTTGAATGCTGGAAAAAGTAGTGAGGCTTGTTAATAGAAAATGAAATCTTTCAGATGTGAGTAATGTGGATTATTGAGAACTGATACCTGCTACTCTATAAGCCTATGCACACTGTCCTGTGCCTTTGGGGAGAAAATGCCTTAGATGTTATATTACCATAGAGTGTAGCCAGAGGGCTGAATTTGGTGACTTGTCTCATTGTGTGAAATTGTGTGATTTTAGTTCTTTATTAAGTTTCTTAAAACTTTGGTTGCTGGAACATCAAAATGCTTTCTTGTTTTCTGAACTCATTCAAGGTTCAAGAATTAGAAGCTTTAAGATGGGAAAGAAGGCTTTGCTTTCTCTAACTGATGTTTTCTGACTAGGTACTTCGTAACTCAGGAAGACCTCATTTAATCCCAGTAATATGTTTTACTAAACTCTTTCAGGTAACTTTTAAAAGACTGTGTGACTTAATGCGCAGTAGATGATACCTTGAACTAAGTTTGTTGTTGGTCGTAGAAAACATTAAGTGAGAGAGCTCTCTTTGTCTCTAGTTATCAGAGACTGCTACAGACCATTGCTGTACTTGAGGCTCAGCGCTCTCAAGCAGTACGAGACCTGGAAAGCTTAGGCAAACACCAGAGAGAAGCGCTAAAAAATCCAATTGGATTTGTGGAGAAACTTCAGAAGAAGGTACCAAAAAGCTGTACTTTGCTACTTATAAAGGTTATGTTATGCTTGATAATTTTAAAAAAAATACGTTTTTTTTTTTTTCTCTGTGAGTCTTTAAAAATATTCACTTTAAAAATATTGATTCCACACCCCTCTTCAGGTCAACCATATTACTGAAGACAATATTGTCTTCCTCTCTTAAAACAGTGAAATTTTCCCAAATGAAGAGAGGTAAACTCTAATTGGCTGTTTAGCAAGAGTGGTTTCCTTCTGTGTCTGCCTGCCACCCTGTGACCTCTCTTCTTCCTGCTTTCAGGACTCAGGATGGTGGAGCTCTGAGGCCTGTACAGAGGCCCGTGAATTATTACCCGATTCTGTTTGGGTTGCGTGTGCTACCGAGTAAAAGAGCAAATGTTTATGAACACAGCACACGTTTGTTTAAACATGTTTAAGGTTATGAGAACGATGTCCATGAAGAGAAATTGGATTTTATTTAATTTTAAAAAGGCTTTTTTACCCCTTAGTGTGAAACTAACTAGTTTTCTCTCTTTTTTTGAAACTAATGTATAACAGTGAGCCATTCAGTTGTATTCTGAGTGCCTCAAATTAGGGAGTCCCTAATTGATCAATATTTTTATACATACAAATACATTGTATGTGTGTTTCTGAGTGTGTGTATGTTTTTTTTTTGGGGGGGGGGGGTGTTGTTCTCTGGTATTGGGGATGGAACCAGGACCTTGTGCAAGTAAGTGTTCTACTACCACTGAATCTGGCTCATACTTGAAAGACTCAGTATCGGCATTGTGTGAAACATTTAAAACAAAATCAAGGAGTACCTCAGTGTACCGGTTAAATGAGATGTCATTTGATGAATCAATTGACTATTCCTTCTCCTGGTTTCAGAAAACATTGCGTTTCATAATACCTATATAATCTATATATTGGCTTATTAAAAACTGGCTTTTAGAGCTGTGTTGTACCTGCTCTGTTAAAATGGGGTTTCCCCTAGGTCCAGTATGCTAGTGCAAACTTAGACTTCAGCACTTTCCTGAAGCTGGAGGATCACGAGTTGAAGGTCATCCTTACCTACCAATTGATCAGATTAGCAATCATCCTGGGCTACAAGAGACACTTTCAAGATACAAAAGACCAAAAAACAACCCTAAAAAAACAAACCTGAAACCCAATAATAAATAACTGAAAAAAAAAATCCGTCTTTTATCATTATTTAATGGTTTGCTTGCGCACAAAGAGGTTCTTCAAATGGCAAGTATTAGCAGATTAAAACTGTTAAAGAAATGAATAATCATGTATTTAACTTTAATTCCATTTTATTTGTGGTTTTGTAAACAAAAAACAGGCATTTAGGCATAGTGGGTTTATATGCAGTTGGCTATTTGCTTGTTTTTAATTTCTAGGTTTAATTTAGAAAGTTTTATTTACTGAACCTCTTAACTTATAAAGATAAATAGAGGTGTATTAAATCCAGGTAGCAGTAAAGAGGCAAGATTTACATTGCTCAGGAAGAATTCTTTGTCTTAGATTTAATTTAGAAGTTTCATTTTTAGGATGTGGTAATTTCGGAGCAAGGGGTGTAGCTGTGTTGCAGGTGTGTGCATGCTTTGTAGGAGGCCCGAGTTTAATCCTAGCACTGCAGGAAAGAATGGCATGTTGTGACTTTCATATGTGGCAAGGGTTTATAGATTGTGAATTCATAGTTTTACTATGTTACAGATAGCCTTGAGGCTCAATGTCAAGTTTTGTGTGTCGCATTGTTGCATCCAGCACACTGTCTTTGCTTGTTCTTAGAGCTGATAGTGTTTGCTGTGGTGTTTATGTATAAAGTTGCTGCTGATGCAGTACAGTATCTCTGTATAGTATGTTAATATGTTCCAGTTAGTACCCTTTGAATGGTATTTACAGTGTGCCTATTGCATTTTTATTTGACCTGTTATTCTCTGTGTTAAATGTATATTGTCATTGATATTTTTATTTTGTTGTCTTTTCCCAGGCCGATATAGGGCTTCCATACCCACAGAGAGTTGTCCAGTTGCCTGAGATTGTGTGGGACCAGTATACCAATAGTCTTGGGAACTTTGAAAGAGAATTTAAAAATCGCAAAAGACATACGAGGAGAGTTAAGTTAGTTTTTGATAAAGGTAAGAGCTTACAAGATAAGAATTGAATGAGGAAAATGCCTGGCAGTATTTTGCTTGAATAATTTTGTGTGTGATTTTATTTTTAGTAGGCTTGCCTGCTAGACCAAAAAGTCCTTTGGACCCCAAGAAGGAAGGTGAGCCCCTCTCGTACTCCATGTTGCCTTTGAGTGATGGTCCAGAAGGCTCCCATAACCGTCCTCAGGTAAGTAAGCAGTGGGACATGCCTGTCTACCATAAAACTGTTTGAACACTTTGCTGTTTTGTGTTCTTAAAAATGGAGATTTGTTTACTGAAAAATAATGGGAACATGAACTTTCAAGGGGAAACCCAAATCTGCCTCCCAGCTGCCGGCCATGACGTTTTCTGTTGTTGTATATGTCCCAATCTTCAAGGTGCAGCTTCTTATAAAATGACGGGGGCTGGGGGGAAGAGCCTAAGAGCCTTGTGATTGGGCTATAAAGTGATTACATAAACAAATTAATGAAAAAATAGTCAAAAATATGTAACTGGTGTTGATCACATTGTAGGGTTTGTATGGATTTTTAAATGGGTGTTGTGGGTGCTGTGTCCAGTACTAGTGTACTGTGGAGTCTGACCAGGATTTCAGATGTGGCCTTGTCTCTGTTGGACTCCTTAATTTTCAATTTTGAACACATATTTCCTGTTTTTAGAGAGGAGTTACTTTAAAAGCAAGTGTAATACAAGAATATAAAAAATTATAATCAGTAAATAGATGAGTATATATTAAAAATAAATATTAAAATATATGAAATTCTAAAACATTCTTTTTGTGCTATTTGCTTATATCCTTGTTATATATATATGTGTGTGTGTGTGTGTGTATTTGTAGATGATAAGAGGTCGCCTATGTGATGACACCAAACCTGAAACATTCAACCAGCTATGGACTGTTGAAGAACAGGTGACACATACTTCTAGCTTCTTTGCATTAAAAGAAAATGTAAACTGTTAATAGTAGAATTAGCACTACCAGGCAAGTGTTAACTGTATTTAATTCCTTTTAAGTCATGAGTTTAAAATATTTAGACTTATTTTTTTATACCTTATTGCTTATTTTATGAATTTTGGATTTTGAAGATGTGTGAACTGTTTGAAAATAATTCTTAAAGAAAAACAACTGGGTTTGGGAAGGAGGCAAGAAATGGGTGGATATTCTTACAAGCAGCTGTGATAGAGAAAAGATAAGTAAAGCTGTTTGCAGTTGATTGACTTCCTGTTGTGTGGAGCTGAAAAGTCAGATTGGCATGCTTGGAACGTTTCTGTTCGAATTGCCTGTGCTAGAGTCTGCTGTCACTCTCTGCTGTAACTGAGTGTTGTATTAAAAGCCTTAGGAAAACTTGATTTCATGTGTAAATGGTTGTGTGTTTAGGATTTATGTTTTAGAAGCTGAGTTTTAATGTTCACTTGGATGCTGCACACAACAGAGGAAAGAGTCTCTTATATTCTAAATCTAGTGATTTTCACATGTTTTTGTTAAAGCTGTAAGGGAACCACATTCTGGCAGGAAAATATAGTTGGGAAGCTGTGTTCACTAAGATGTGTACTATTTCTCTTATTTTCTTGTTTTCTTGTACTTGCTTTTCATAGGTGTTTTTTCTAAACTGCTTGCCTGTGGCATCTTATATTCCTAACTGGAACTTTTGTCTGCCTTGTGGTAGTTCTCTAGTTAGTGATGTCCAGAATTGACAGAGCAGTTCTGTGCTTTGGATGAAATGTGAGTGTATCTGTTCAGAAATCCAGTATTGTAAATGGAATACTTTTTTACCTTAAACTTTGGTCTTGGGTTTGGTGCAGAAAAAACTTGAACAACTACTCCTGAAGTACCCTCCTGAAGAAGTAGAGTCTCGGCGGTGGCAGAAGATCGCAGATGAGCTGGGCAATCGGACAGCCAAACAGGTGATGGGAGTTGCTCCAGGCCGTGTATGGTAGATTGTTTCTGGAGGACCGTTCTGTAGCCACACCAGCACAACTCATAGCATTGCTAGTTGTTGTATGTGCTGATGTTAAATTGATTAGCACTTCTTATTTTTCTTTTGATTGCAGAAACAGTGTAAGTCACCTCGCTTTGTATCAGTGCAAAACATTAAAGGAGGATATCGTGGGCCTCCCTGCTCCTGAGTGCTTAGGGGGTACACTGACAGGGTCCTCTTTGGTCAGATTGTGCTAGCTGATTTTCCCTGATTGTCTTTCTGAGGGTGGACACAGCAGCTTCCTTCTTCATGCTCCATCCTTGTGACTAGCAGATGGGGTTTCATGCTGTCTCAGCAGAGCTCACCAGGTGAAGAGGACTGCTTAGCTTTGGAATCAAACAGACTTAAATTTACTTGAATTGGTTTTGTCTAGATTTTAAAATATAATTGTCTTTGATGACAGTTCAAGTTCCTTCTTGGTTTAATTGGTATTAAAGTTTCACATCATTTCATTACATTAAGAGAGTTGTCATGTCTCCTTAGGTCGCCAGTCGTGTACAGAAGTATTTCATAAAGCTAACTAAAGCTGGCATTCCAGTTCCAGGCCGAACACCTAACTTATATATATACTCCAGAAAGGTGAGGAGTGGGGTGGGAGCAAGCCTTGGCTGCCGTGCATTGAATTCAGAACTGTTGCACAGACATGAGTGTGTTAAGCTGCACTTCTCTTTCTGACATTTCACTGTGTTGGCTATAAATGCAGAGTAAGATTCCATTGTTGCTATTTAGAAAGTGCATTGAGTTTTAACAGTTCTTCATTGTTTTCTTGAGGGAAATATGAATGAATACAACTTGAAGGGCTTTTTTACCACCTTGTTAGGAATGTCTTAGTGATGTTAAATTTTGTGAGGCGTGGACTCTCTGAAATGTAGGCCAGCTCTCTTTATGCTCTGCTGCCTAGGCTGGAAATGTTAGTGAAATTTTTAACCCTAACCATAGCTTTGAAGCTGTAAATATGAGTTTTTTTTCTCTCCCTTCCATTTTATGGTGTGAACATTGACAGGTGGCTGTTATTTATGAACCATGCACAGACCTTTACATACATAGGCAAGCTAGGCCATAGTGACATGTGTAAACTGTCTAGTCACAAACTAGTCACAAGCTGAGAACCATTGTTTTTGGAGACATACTGTCATGTGTAGCCCTAGCTGACCTAGACCTTGCTGTATAGACAGTTGTGGTGGTGCTCTTGCCCCTGCTGGGAAGCAAGTCCTGGAGTTGCAGATGCTGCTACTGTGCTGGTTTCATACTTAGTGCCAGGGAGCCTTTTGCCCCACCCCACCCTTAGGGGGCATGCAGTGTGAGGGTCCACCAAAACAGAGTTAGCAGTCTTCAGTGTTGCGTCTCACACTGTCTCCGCTGCCCTGAAGTGAGGAAAGCTTCTGTCTCTGATACTGCAGTAACTTGCAACCATGTTGTGGGGAATTGAAATTGGTAAAAGTAAGGGCAATTGGATTCTTCTGTTAGCTTGATAAATCCTTATGATACCTTCCTCCTTCTACCACTCTCAAATGTTAGCTTTCTGGGAGATGCTATTTTATATACTTTTAAATTGGGAAATCATTTATACAGCTCACATCTTACAATTTTTTAAAAGATTTATTTTTTAAATTATGTGTCTACATGTAGGTATGTGTGTGTGAATGCTCTTGTGTGAATGTTCATGCCCACAGAGGCCAGGGGCATTACATTCTCCTATAGCTGAAGTTTAGAGAAGGTTGTTGTGGGCCACCTATGTGGGTTCTGGGAATTGAAATAAGTCCTCTACAAGAGCAGTAACTGCCTGTAACACCTGAACCATCTCTCTAGCCCATGAGTTTTTGAAGTTGTTTTGTTGTTGTTGTTTTGATTTCTCTCTTTTCTGTTTTTTCAAGGCAGGGTTTCTCTGTGTGGTCCTGGGTGTCCTGGACTCAATCTATAGACCAGGCTGGCCTGACACTCCCACGTGCTGGGGTTGAGGCCTGCGTCACCATGCCAGGCTTTTCGAGCTTGTTTTAATTTGCTAATTGTTTTAAGTACTAATGATACATAGAGCTCTTACAGCCTTGGAATGCTAGAACTTTTGCACACCACTATTCAGACTAACAGCTGTACTTTTCATGGTTCTTAATTCTTTGTCTTCACCCACCTCCCTATCTTTTTTTTTTTTTTTTTTTTCTGTGCTGTGATTCAAACCCAGGACTTTTTTATGCTGGGCAAATGCTCAGCCAATATGTTGCTTTACACCTTGTATTTTTACAACTAAATGAAGAATGACCAAGAAGGAATACTGGTAAAGCCTAAATTTCCTCCATTATGTGTGTAGTCTCTTATAAGTTCATAGACATTGTGGCTGTAAAGGTCTAGGTCAGCCATAGCCATAATGGTTCCGGCCATGATGAGAGTTTGAAGTTTGGAATGGGTGAAATGATGGCTTTGCAGTGGTTCTTTGGGTCTGTGGTATGTACTGATCATGAAGGGTGTCTGCATGAGTGGCTGGTACGAGGGCCTTGCCACACTCTACCAGCTTCTAGCTACACTGCCTTCATCATGAAACTCGGCGTCCTCGTGACTGCATGGCTTCCCCTCTGAACCATAGGAGATGGCTGCTCTGTAGAAGTGCTGTGGTGATTAAGTGATGTATAACTTACTTGTTAGGAATTTCTCTAGCTTAGGTCATTTTATTCTCTTGACTTTCAGTATAAGCTAATTCCAAGAGTTCAGTGCAGCCAGCATTGTAGGCTTTTAACACTGGGGTACATGTATGGGTTTTGTACTTTTGATTCTGTTGATGATTTTCCACTGTCCCAATAAAACACTTGTTTTGTTTTTTTTCTTGCAGTCCTCAACAAGCAGACGACAGCACCCCCTTAATAAGCACCTCTTTAAACCTTCCACTTTCATGACTTCGCATGAACCACCAGTGTATATGGATGAGGATGATGACCGGTCCTGTTTCCACAGCCACATGAGCACTGTTGCTGAGGAGGCGTCGGTAAGTCCCACCTCTTTTCACACACTGGAGTACATGATCTTCTGATTATCCTGCTTTCCAGAGGGTATTGACATGTCCCCTTTAACAAGTCAGATTTAGAGTTACTATGCTTTTAAGTGTTTCCCATGAAAAGTTCAACATAGGCGTAAGTAGTGAGAATAACCCAGATCCACTGCAGATTATTTTGGCTGGAGTTCCAGACACAAACTCAGGTTCCTGAGAAGGTAACTTTTCATGTTACAGATTATTTGGCTGCCCCAGTCATTTCAAGGGATATGTGTGTGTATGCATACACTTATTGGGTCCCTGTGCACACTAGGCAAGCACTCTGCTAGCTGAGCCATACTCAGTTATACTCATACAATCTCAGTTATTTTTTACTTGTTTGTTTGGATCCAGAGAAAGGCGGCAGGGGTTGGGGGGCCTCTGCTTTCATTTTCCTCACCCACACCACCTGCTTGAAAGCTGGGTTGTTTGTCCACAGGTTTGCCTCCGTCTGGACTATATCGCCTGTATCCTTGTCGTTTACCTTGTTTTTCTGCTCTGAGTTTCTGTAAAGTGATTAGTCCCTCGCTTGAAGAATGTATGCTAAGACTGATTCGCACAATTAGAGCAGGAGATTTTAGGGAAAATTAGAGGAAAAAAAAGTAACTTTGTCTCTTAAATAACCATGTAGTGATTCTGTTATCATTTTTTCTTTAAATATTTTCTGGAAATGTTCATACTGTGTCTTACAATACAGCCTTTGTGTATAATTTTGTCCTTTGTGATTGTTAGAAGGATCCATTTGAGGAACTACTTAGCTAAACATGTAATAGACTGCTAGGTATTTGATATGAGGTTGTAAAAATATATGTTTTTGTTCTTCTGAATCTTGGGCTTGTATGTTGTTTATCACTTAATAAACAGTTGTTACAGCCATTCAGGAGACTAGACGGCGCTCTTGTGGTCATTTAGGAGGAACCTAGTGTAGGAAGTTTATGAGGAAGTGTAAGAAGGTGGCCATGAGGACGGTGCTTGCAAACTGGTTACACCTTAGCCGTGTGTGGAGGGTGGCAGAACACTGGAAACAAGCACTCGGTGGTAGTCCCATGCCTCGTTATGTGCAGGGCCCTCACTTCACTTCCCACGAGAAGAACTGTTTTAAAATATAATGTAATAAAGTAAATTACATTTAACTTTTCCTTGGTATTTCTTTTTAAATAGCACCAGTGTAAATCATACTGATTATATTTTAGGAATGTAGTCTGGGACAGTCTTCAAATGCTAATCCTCCTTCCTCAGCACCCTCAGAGCTAAAAGTGCAAGTGTGTATCACCATGCCCTCTGATCCACATAGCTGTTGAAAATGATTATCTATGAATCTTCTGATAGCAGGAGGCTTCTCTTTCCAAAGCAGCAGCAGCTAAAGAAATTAGATGTGCACAATTTACTTCTTAGTTTGAAAAATCCATGTTCCACCTTAGCCTTATCTGAAATAGCATAACTCAGAAAGTTGTTGAGTACACAGTTTCCTATGTTAACAAGCCAGTTATGTTACTGTATAGTAGTCTCAGATCCCCTCCACCCCCACTACCTGAAATTGTCTATGAAACCGTGTCTTTACAGCTCCTAGTGCCCACCATCCCTTATTCTGTATGCACATGTGACTACCGAGAACACACAGGTGCTCTGCTTTCCATACCTGTAGGGTCTTTCTGTGTCTATTGATTCACCCATCAGCTGACTGAACTATTTAGGGAAAAAGTATCTGTACCAAAAATGAGTAGACTTTTAATAATAGGTGATAGAACTTTAAAATGGAAAAATGGATGAAAGATATGGTAATGGAATGTGAAACTGAAGAATTTTATCTATCTGAAGACCTTGGACTTGACTCTTATACAGGAAGCTGCAGAAAATTTAAAGTAATGGTGGGAACAGTGGAGAGACTGGGTAGTAGAGGATGGATTTGAGAGAAATGTTACATCGTGACAGAATTAGATATGCATAAGAAAAAGCTTAGAATTCTGTATTAGGCAGCTGTATATATCAGGAAAATAAGGGTTCAAGTCATCCACTCATTAATTAATCTCACTAGTTATTTATATGATCTGAGGAGTTGTTACAGTTTTTATAAACATCCATTTCCTTGATGGGAATATAACACAATAGTTAATGACAGAGGGATGAGGAAGATGAGATGTTATCTTATCCAGGATTGAGAATTTATGGGACTTGGAGCATTGGATTGAGGGTGCATTTAGAAAGCTAGTGACCATGGGGTCAGCCATTCGGTTGCAAAAGATCCTGGGTATCAGGGGAAGATTGGGAAAATAGAAAACCAGTAAAGCGATTAGTAATCTCAGTAGGCTTTTGAAAACTGAGGTGAGACTTAAAGAGAAATGGCAAGCAGCATTGTGAGAGGCTTACATGCTATTTTAGAGCAGACGTGTAACTAAAGGCAAGGTCCAGGATGTAGCTCTTAGGATGGGAACCAGAGAAAGATTGCAGGTGGAATCGCTATGGTGGACCTAGCATCAGAGATAACAAACAAAGGCGGGACACTGAGGGTCTTAGCATTGCCCAGTGTAGGGAATGGTCCTGTAATGTAAGGACACAGACTTTGCATATCAGTTTTGAATGGCATGTCAGTTTTAGGGTTGGAGGAACCCTTACTGGGTTTTACATCTTGTAGTTCAGTGTTTCTGAGATTCTTAAAGTATTAATACAGTCTACTTTGTTTTCTAAGTAGCTAGTGTGGTTCAGTTCATCCCCTTGACTAAAAAATACACTGTTTTGATTAGTCATTGCAAAACAGAGTTTGCTGGTTAAAAAAAGATACCATGTTTACAAAGGCAAGTGTGAAATTACTGCAGAGCAGGGAGAGGTCAGATATGAGGCTTCTGAAATAGCTCTGGTGACAGTACGTTTTTGTTATTGTATGACAGGTGTGGAGTTCATTGAGCCTTAGGAAAGCATTTCAAGTCGTGTAAAGTGGGAAAGTGGGCCGTTAGGCTGATCAGCTTGTAAAGTACTTGGTGCAGTTTGGGTTCCCAGCACCCTTGTGAATCCATGAACATGCTGGCATGCCCTTAAGCACAGCGCTGGGGAAGCAGAGGCAGGGAGGCTAGTAGAGCTGTTGGCCAGCCACCCCAGCTGAATTGTCAGCTCACACACATCAAAAATAGTCAGCACTAAGTTTCTGAGTCTTTAAAAGCGAGAACTGTTCGGTAGTGATAAGGATTGTGTATTACTTACACTTAGTCCATTTAAATTATTGAACTAACACTTTCATATTTTGTTCTTTTTAACAGGATGAAGAAAGCATTCCTATCATGTATAGGAGTTTACCTGAATATAAAGAACTATTACAGTTTAAAAAGTTAAAAAAGCAGAAACTTCAACAAATGCAAGCAGAAAGTGGGTTTGTGCAACATGTGGGCTTTAAGGTAAGCTTAAAAGGGTGAAAAGGGTACTGTTAGTGGCCTCTAGGTTATTCACTTCTGGAATCTCTGAGCCTTCAGGGAAAGCGCAGTAAGTTTCTCTGTAATTCTTTTAGACACACGTGCAAAGCTGTGCCCACAAGTGGGTGTCACATAGTCTAATGTTCCTTATGGAGAAGAACACATGCAGTTGTTGATCATGTGGGTTGGAGGCCAGCTGGGGCTATGTAGTGAGCCTCTGTGTCTTAAAATAAAATAAACAAATCCTAGAGATGTTAAACAAGTAAAAGAGCTGAGTACACCTAAAAAAAGTGCATGCTGTAAAGAAGAGCCTGTGCACAACTGGAGGTTTTGCCAAGGAGTTTAAAGAATCCTAAGAGGTTAGGGAAGATTTTCAAGATTTTAGGACATTTCAAGAAAATGGGTTTGCTAACTTTTAGGAAAGCACAGGATTTAGACTCAACAGCCCTACTTGTTTACTGTTACTAAATTTTGTAAAGCAGTTTATTCACCTATTTTTAATGGAATTAAAAATACATAAGTGAAGCAGGGCCATAGATCATTCTGGCTGTAATGTGAGGACTGGATTAAAAGAAAGTTAAAAGGAGACAGCTGGCATCTTGGGGAGTCGTCTTAGTATTTCTCAAACATGTGCCCTGGCTGCACATCTGTTAGCGGGAAAATAAAGACTGGCCAGTTTGCGTCTCTGTAGGTGCTAGAGATGGCTGCGCTTAGTTAATTAGATTGTGGAACATTGCAGTAAGACCATAATGTGGGGTTGCTGTTGGCATGTGCGTGAAAGGGTCGATGCATGCTGACCCTTCAGGGACCTTTCTCCTCTGTAAGGAATTTTCCTAACTGGCTTCTAGTTTTTTGAGAGGAAACTCAGTTTTCTCATAATTGGATGATAGTCTCAGCCATGACTTATTGGACAGTATATTATCAGAGAATGTAGGAATGAGACTTATTTTGTGGCTTAGTCACTGTTCTATTGCCATGAAGAGACAACAACATAAGGAAACTCTTTGAAAGCATTTAATTGGGGTCCTGCTTACAATTTTAGATCCTGAGTCCGTGACCAATATGGTGGGAGGCCAGCAGGTTGGTGCCAGAGCAGTAGCTCTACCCTGACCTGCAGGCAGTGGGCAGAAAGAGACTAGGGCACTCAAGTTTCACTTTCCAATGACACTCCTCCCAATCCTTCCCAGACAGTTCCACCAGTCAGTGACCAAGCACTCAAATATATGAGCTTATAGGGGCCATTCTCATTTAAATCACCATACTTAGTTTCCAAAATTCTGCGCTGAGGGGCTCCTGCAGAGTCTCTATGGAGAACAAGCTGTGCCTGCCCTCTTGTCATTATAAGGCTTTGTTTTTAGGGGTTCAGCCTAGTGAGTGTCCAGACAGGAGTGTGGCATTATCTGGGTGTCTGCTGCTATGTGTCTGGGAGGCTCTGGCTCTGGAAATGAGTCAGTGTTCATGGTTACACACTGGTTTCAAGTGAATATTGACTAATGGTAAAATACCCAAGTTTGAGTTGATTGACTTAAGAACCTCTTGGGTAAATGCAAAGGTTGTTTCTCATTCCCCGGTAGTCGGTTGTTGAGTGGATGAGCCTTTATCTACTTCTCTGGGAATTCTGCTGAACTTACACCAGTGTGTTAAAGAACTGGACAACTTACAGGGCGGGGTGTGTCCTTGTTAGATCATGTGCTTCCTAGTAGAAAAGAAACGTAGCCAAGAACTCTTGTGCATCTGTTGCAGTGTGATAACTGTGGTGTAGAACCTATCCAGGGGGTCCGGTGGCACTGCCAGGATTGTCCTCCAGAAATGTCTTTGGATTTCTGTGACTCTTGTTCAGACTGGTAAGTGTTTTATCTTGGAGACAAGAACCTGAAGCAGTGTACTTTAAAGCGTAACTATGCTTCTATGCATTAGATTCTACTCTAAGCAATTAAAATCTTCCTTAAATCACATCACATCTCAAGCAACTTTCTATTAAAGCATTTTGAGAGAGTAATTTAACTGAGAAGATTTGGGGAGGGGCAGATGAAAATGCGTGTGGAGTCACATGCTGATGAGTCTGTCTGTGTTTTCTCCTTGCAGCCCTCATGAAACAGATATTCACAAGGAAGATCACCAGTTAGAACCTGTTTATAAGTCAGAGACATTCTTAGACAGAGACTACTGTGTGTCCCAAGGCACCAGTTATAGTTACCTGGACCCCAACTACTTCCCAGCCAACAGATGACATGGAAGAGTGTCGCCACTAATCCTGGTCAACACCGCAGTGACGTCATTGTTGGTGGTGTGCACAGTCTGCACACTCGCAGCGTGAGCGCTCCCCGAGTGTTCTCCTCAAGTACAGCTCTGCACCGGGTGCTGTGGATGAGCAGCTGAGCATTCCTGCTGAGCTGAGCGTTTTCCGCTGAGGTTTTCACCACCACCTCAAAGCCCTGTGGGTGGTGGGCCTAAGTGGGTGAGATGGGAACGAGAGCTCGCATTAATGCCAGAGTGAATTCCAAAGGCTTTAAAGACCTCGGTCACACATGATAATGACAGACAAAGTATTTATATTAAATCAGTTTAGTAGCTTTCAGTTTGTGAAGATAGTTTTCAGCGCAGACCAGACTTACAAAGTTTTAACCAATGATGGTGTTTGCTTCTAGGATGTGTACTCTAAAGAGCTCACTGTCCGGTGGCCACTCGTGGCCTTCAGGGGACAGGAGCTGCTTAGCAGTTTGGTACCTAACTTTTAATCACGATGAACTGTCCTTACTAAGAGCAAAGCACGAGGTAGCTGTGACTTTGCTTCTTTAACCAGCTCAAGGGGTGTGAATGTCATAAAGTTGTCACGCAGATATATTTTTTAAATGTCATGTTATATAAGATGATCATGTGATGTGTACAGACTATGGTGAACCGTGCCAGTGGTAGTGACTGTGTAAACTCTGATTCCCAACATTAATCCCTTTAAAATACACAGCCTTCTGCCTCTGTATTTCGAGTTGTCAGTGCAACTCGTCAAAGAAAACTGCCTAATATAAAAATCAGATATATGGTGATAATTTTTCCTCTTTTGTAGTCTGCACAAAATCCATAAAAGATTGTATTTTTATTACTATTTAACGAGTGATTAAATGTAGTCTGCACAGTGAGCAGAGTTCACAAGCATTCTTTTATACTGCTGGATTTTGTTGTCCATCATTTAAAACATTTTGTATGTTTCTTATCTGTGTACACAGTATGTTCTTGAATAATTTTCATTTGTCAGGAGAACTGTGAGAAATAAAGTATGTGGATATGTTTGTTTATATTATAGAACACTTGTTGTGGCTTCCTTTGGGTCAAATTTGGATTTTTTTTTTTCTTCAAGTGTTAAAGTAGAATTTATTATTTAAAAGTTTGTTTTCCATCTGTATTTGTTTTCTGTTCTTTATGAAGGGTGAAGATGTATTGTGGAAGAGTGTGATCACAGCTTGAGACCTGTTAAAGGTGTTAGTGTTCTTATCTAGTGTGCTGAAACACTGCACATTAGGGATGCTGACCAATGTCCAGATGTGGAACCTAAATATATGTCGAAATTTTTATTCTAGTAGGTTTTTTTTTCTTAATTAAGTTCCCATGTATTGAAACAGTTGATTTCCAAAAATTATCAACGAAGAAAAGATAGTATATTCGATGGTAAGTTGAGTACTGATACTTGTCAAGTTTTATCTTTGCTTTTCTGTTTTTACGTTCAGGGAACATTATTTACTAATTCTCTTCAGTACTCAGCAAGGTATTAAAATCTACCCTGAACTTTTTGATTAAGAAAGATATAGAATTTTAAGTATGGAAAAGAGAAATGTAAGTAATATATTGATTATCGCTGGTCATATTGATGCAGTCTACTGTTACAGAAAGAAAAGCCAGCAGGCCTTTATCTCTGGGCTGCGAGTGAAGGAACAACAGTCAAACTGCAAGGTGCCAGGGTCTTCCCTCATGCATAGCATGCAGACAGTTTTGGAGAGCAGGTCAGATCCAAACATCCCGTAAAGGTGAAATACACCCTGGAAGGGGAAGTGAGGGTTGTGATTGTGGGGTCCCAGCAGAGCAGACAGACACACTTGAAGGCAAAGATTTTGAGACTGAGTTAGTAATGTGGGTTTTCCCTGTATGAACAGAAGATGTGTTTGTTTTGGATTTTGGATTTTTCGGCTCTGAGCACATCATCGCCATGGCTTGGTGGGAATGTTTTTCTTGTGTTTTTACTTGAGGGTTGCAGAAGTGGGCAGGCTTATTCTTTACACAAGGAGACCTTCCATCTCTCTACCAAGGAGTACTGATTGCTGACAGGCTGCTGATAGCTATGCTTGAGAAGCAGTGTTAGTGTTTTCGTGCTTCAGGTACGATGCTCAAGTTGTTCGCTACCGTAGAAGGAATGCTTAATAACACCAGAAGCCACTGCTCTAAGGTTAGGGAGAGAAGAGCTTCCCTTTAATATGATGCCCCGCTAGTAAATGCTCATGTGGCCTCTGCTGCACACAAGCCAGCAGGTGGCGACTCCTTGGATTCTCAACCCAGTGAAGCAAGTTCCTTGAGTGCCCTGTTCTCATGAGCACTACCCAGAACAAAGTTAACTGACTCTCCCAGGTCATATTGTTAGTGAGGTGATGAGACTTGTCTCTGAGCAGGGCTGTTCCCTTTGTCGCGCCTGGTTTCCCCAGCAAGAGCACCGCTGCTGTGAGGCAGTCTGGTTTCTCGTGCTCTTTTCTCATGCATTGCTAGAATACAAACCTGGGGCCTGACTCACAGGGGCCCACGCACCTCTCCATTGCCTCTCACCCGACCCCTGGTTTTCCTTGGCTCTTCGCCACTCTCACGTCCATCAGATCACAGAAAAGTTTACTGAGGTGGTAGGACCATTTTTAAAGGCTGACAGGTAGATGATGGCGCAGTGCTGTAATAGATGTCTTGTTCTGTAAAAGTTCCCTTAAATAGCTGTGTAAATCTGGATAACCAGGTTTACAACCGGCTGTTCTGGATGTACTGGAGGAAACAGCTCGTTTCCATTGCATTACCCTTTTTAAACCCTTTTAAACTGTAGAGTTTTAGTTTTCATATGATCCCACAGTTTATCCATCTGTTAAATGGGTTGATTTGTGAGTTGTGTCATGTTAAGCTTCATGAGAGCAGTTTATGTGTGTGTCTCTAGGCGCTGACTTTTTAACAGACTCTATATAACTATTTGCTGGTTGCGTGACCCAGTGTTTGGTAAGTTACACTCTTTCTGTAGAGGGTGGTGGGGCCCAGTACATGACATGCCATGACTCTTGGAAAGCCTGTTGCAGGAGGCCCCTTGGCGTGTCTTCATGGACAGCCTTGGCATCCAGCTTTACTTGTAGGGCGTGCTTAGCCAGATCATGCATCGTGGCTGGCACTCAGTCATATTTGCAGTGACGTTTTGGGTCCTGGTCCCTGTTGGGGAAGTGAAGCGGTTCCAGGAACTAGTTGCTGATTTGCAGCATTGCTAATTGTATATGGGGGAACAGTGAAGACACTGAGACTTAAAGCATGTGATTTCTCAGTAGTAACAGATGTGTGGGGACGCCTGCAATAGAAAATCCAGGCTTTTGTGGAGCTTATAGACTAACAGAAGGCAGCAATGTACAAATAAACCTCTAATTCCCTAATTAAGTAAGATAATTTCTGAAGAAAAATGAAATAAAACAGGAGTCTGAGGAACTGTGTCGTTTTAGATTGAATGGGCTGAGCATGTGGATCCTCTGTAGGGAAGAGGCAAGAGGATGCCAGTGGTAAGGCCTTGGGTCTCCTCAAGCAGCTTTGAAGACCGGCAGTGTGGCTTGAGACAAATGAATGAGAGGAAGGGTCCAGGTGATGGCATTGGGGAGGGCACAGTACCAGGTCAGGTGCAGCCTTGAGCATGGGTCATAGCCAGGCAGTTTGCATTTGTCTTACACAGCGGTTTGCTAGGCAGAAACTGCTAAGGTCCACTCTTTTTAAAATCTGTGACTTTGTGCTATCACTTGGAGCCATTCACACGAGCAGTTGTGTGCTCCGCTGCTCTGTAGAAAGCTGATTTGCATTCCCAGGTACTGCTTTCTGCTGAGGTTTTCCAAAGTAGCTGCCAGCTACCTTGTGGAGTCCCAGCTGGCTCCCCTGCCTGCTGCCTTGTTTCCTCACATGGAGCTGTGGGCGCAGTGTTTGCCAGGGTGTGTGTGTGTATGTTTGGAGACTCTTAACTCCTACAAAGTCACTTGCTTAAGTTTTCATCCTGTAACAGCACTTCTCATCTTGCTCAGATACTCAGATACTTCCCTGTCAAGTGTAACAGCTTGGGGTAGTGTAAGCATTTGACAGCTGTGTGAGTTTGGGAACATAACGCACCCTTTCTGCTAGTAAAGGCCTAATTGTAACCAAAGAAACTTAATTTCTTGTCTAGCACACACTGATATTTCTGTTTAGGAACCAGTGCTAGAGAAAAAGAAATTTGAAACGGACCATGTATCATGAATACATTAACAATTTCTCTGTAATAGCTCAGATCTGATCTATGGCCAAAGTTCAAATCATATAAGTGGATCATAATTTTAAACCATTACTGTGTTTGCTTCTGTTTGGAATGAAAGCTTTCAAATGCTTTCCAGAATGATGTGAGTTAAAAATAAATAGAGAAAGAGTTATCCTGGCTTCCATTTATTTCATTTGTACATAACTTTTGAGGGGGAAAATGATTTTAAAAATACAGTTCTATTCTGGAAACATCTGTATTTGCTCACTCATTGAGGAAAAGAATCATGCAAACCAAAGTGCGTGTAATGATTGAGCACAAGATGCAGATATTTCAGAAGACACAAGCAGCTCCAGTTCAACAACTCAGCATAAAACACGCACACTTGACTGGTGTGGCCGCGCTAGCCCATGGAGCGGGCCCGTGAGACAGATACAGCACAGGGGCTGTGGGACACCCGTGTCCTCACGTGCCCTCCCAGGTGAGCTGGGATACTGCCCTTTTTATTTGGCAGTATGTCAGGGAGTAATTACCTCAAACCAAAACTACAAGGTGGTTTGTCCCGTATGTGAAGTAACAAATCATCTTTCATACTTTTACATTCTGACCGGTCTCTGGTGCTAATTTACATAATTGCAAAGGCGCCCTGCTGCGTGGGGAGGAGAGCGGCTTGTACAGTTGACCAGCATTGTTAGCTTTTTAGGACACTTCCACGCAGCTAGTGTCCCCAAAATGGATGGCACTGATTGCCCTGTGTTGCTCTCTAGGAGGAGCTGGATAATACCATATTTTGAAACATTTCTGTCAAGTTCTGCTGGCTTGATGCCTTGCAAATGCTCCACAGGGCATTTAAAAGTCCCACCGGGGCTCTGCGCAACCCCTGGGAACTGGAGAAGCAGTCAGTACCAGAGGAGGTATCCAAGCCTGTCCCCATGCTAATGACCCACATCCGGGGGAACAAATACATCAGTGAGAAGGAGGAGACTGTGATGGAGAATTAGGGATGTGTTCTCCCTGTACACATCAGACATCAGCTGGCCCTGGGGCACCCCTGGCATAGGCCCTGCCCTGCAAACATCTAGACTGTGCTCCGAGGTACAACCTGGTGACAGAAAAAAAAGCGTGCTGGAGTGCAGGAGAAAGGTGGACAGTCTGAGAATACCTTGCCCGATTTCCAGAACCCTCTCCCATGAGTTTCGCTTCGAGGAAGCAGCTGGCCAAGGTGGGTGGGGGTGGGGACAGAGGAATGTATTAAGGGGTGAGTTTCGTGCTCCTTTATGTCCACTCAAAAGTTGTGCATCTTCTTCAGAAAACTGACTCAATAGCTGTGCAGAGCTGGAGAAAAACTTGATCTGGTGTTCCCTCTGCATTCACCTGTATTTGAAAGGAAGAGAGTTGTTATCCTTTTGGCCTGCTTTTAAATGTGATCTTTTTTTTTTTCCCAATTATGAAACACAGTTATCTGCTTTTGCTCAGCAAATGAAAACAGTGTCCACCCCCCAGACGCAGAGACTAAAGTGAAAAGTGGTTACTTAAAAAGCAGGTGCCTGTGTGGTGGAGTCTGCCTTTAGTCAGCACTCAGGAGGGTGCATCTCTGAGTTCGAGATCTACATAAGGAGCTCTAGGCCAGCCAACAGTACCCAATGAGATCCTGTCTCCAAAATAAGCAAGATGTATATCCCGAGATTAAAATGAGAGGGCATTGCTACACATTTATTAAAATGGCTGACATCCCCAAATCCTTACTAGGATGTGAAACAACTTAAACTGGATTGCTGACAATAGAGAAAAACTGGTGCATCCACTTGGAAGGCACTGCACTTCAAATACCCCCTCCAGCAGCTTCTTTCAAGTTAACAGCAAATACCCCCAGACCTGCGCATGTGTGTACACATGTGTGCACAGCTTTCTCCACGATTGGCAAAACTTGAATGGTACCAAGTTACATAGGCGAGTAATCTAGGTCACTTAGCATTAAAGTGAAAGGAGCTAGAATAAAGACACGAAGAGACTTAACTGTGTGTTAAGCCATTCTGAAAGGGGCACATACTGTCTAGTCCAGCCTTGACAGTGGAAAGAGCAGTTACAGCGCTGCTCTGGTGTAGTTGCCGCACATTCCAGAGTTGTCCAAGCATACGGTACACAACAGGTGTTGCGGTCAGCCATTGCCTTTGGGTATGTATAGGTTCATCTAGTGTGACAGATGTCCTGTTGGCAGCATTGCTAGTTGAAGGGGTTGTATTTGGGTATAGGGTGTCGGGAGCTCCTCTATTTTCCTGTGAGCCTCTTAAGTGCTCTAAAACACCGAAAAAGCAAAGCGAGAGCTGTGTTCTAAGTATTGTTAGAAACCAATGAACACTTTGGTGTTACCCTGAGAGTTCTGAATGTGGTAAAGCACTTAGACCAGGCTGGGAACATAACCTGGGTTAGGGCTCGGGAGCAGGAATGTAGAGGAGAAAGCAGACCTGGGCCCACGATGTGCAAATATATTATGGGCGGAGTTCTTGAGGACACAATGCACCAATGGAGGACAAGATGCACCACCAGTGGAGGAAGCCAGCAACAGATGGAACAGGAAGGGCATGGCTTCCTGGATAGCTAGCCAGCTGCTGGGGATTGTTCAGAAGGCTGAGGCTGGAGATGCTGGGAGCATGCCTTAGACATGGCCCTGCTTAGGTTAGGAGAATGGGTGTGGGCATTACTGCTTAAAGAGGAACTGAGCCGCCCAGCAGCCATCCTTGATGAAACGGCATGTTGGTCTCGTGAGCAGGCAGGTACAAGCTGGAGCCACCAGTTGTGTGCTGCGACTGGACTGTGGAACTCAAGTTTCTCAAGGCTGCTGTGGCCAAATTTGGGCAGATTGTGGCTAGAGAGCAGCATGCTCTGATGGCTTGAAGCCATGGGGCAGAGGCTCAGTAAATGCTAATAAATGGAAGCATTTCAGAAGGTGATCTCGGATCCGGCAGGTGATAGCGATGGCAGTCATAATGCACAAGGGCCAGTGTTTAAGCCCAAGCTCTGCATAGCAAAACAGCTGCCAGTGCCTTCCTGGAGGCTCCATGCACAGTCAACACATTTTTCATGTGATTTGTACTAAATAATGGGTTTGACCATGGCGTCTTTACAATTGCATGCGGCACACCTCAGTCACAGATAGCTCTCTTCCCTCACCCCCCCCCGCTGGCCCCTCCCTCTTCCAAATGATAGGCCCCTTTTAATGTCTTATTTTTAGAATCTTGATTGTACATACAAGAGAAAACAAGCAATATTTGTTTTCTGAGTACTGAGCCTGCTCTCCAGTTCTTTCATTTTCCTGTATACAAGTGGTATTTCCTTCTTTCTGCTTGAATAAAGTACATTTTCTTTATCCATTCATTGGTGGGCCCCCAAGCTAATTCTGTAACTTGAATATTGTGGACAGTACCTCAGCAAATATGGGTGCACAGGAGACAATTTTCTTAAGGGCCATTTGGGGCAACTTTGAGAAACGCTTCATTTTTTTTTCAACTCTTATTGTCTACCTTCATTAGTTTCAATTTTCCAACCAGAAATCAATTTTATATTTTTAATGCCCCGAGAAATATATTTAGCAATATTTGTATTTATTAATCTTTGTTTCTCTTTTTTTTCTCCTTTTTGAGATAGAGTCTCAAGTATCCCAGGCTAGCCTCATGTAACAGAGAGTGACCTTGAACTTGACCTTCTTGTGCCTGATATGTACTGGCATCACAAATCCACAATGAATTTATACAGGAATGGGGATTTTTACTGCATATATGTGATCAGAAACAAAGCGAGGTTACATTGATCCATACATAGGTGATCAAAGCATAAAGACAGATGCCTCATCAGAGGAGGGATTGTGGTTGTTTTCATGGAGGAGAATGGTCTCCAAGGAGTGGGGCAAGGTGGTGGGGTTTCTAAGTCTGTGTTCTGGCTGTTTTGGTGGGTGTTTGAGGGTTCCCCTTACTCTTCAAAGTGTACACATTCTAAAAGTCCCTTAGTGAACATAATACTTAATCTCTTTCAGAGCCTTAACCAAAGTACTGTGTGCTCAGTGCTCACCCTCAGAGCCAGAGGCTCTGCCTTGGGACCAGGGGTTGACTTCCCTGTGTTTGGGTTCCTCACAGGACTGGCCTACTCTTTGGTCTCCTTCTGCTTATCCTTGTGGGGAACCTGGGATTTGCTGAGTGCCAGCATAATCCATGCTGAGACAGCACGCCTACAGACAAGAGACAACAGTTTACAAGCTCAAGGCTCATTGGAAGGGAAATTCAGCGGGAGCTCATGCTGTTAGGAAGTACAGGGCTTGGGACTGCAGAGACGCCCCCTGAGAATATAAACAGGGCTGCAATGACACAAGTGACGCTTAGGTAACTGGGTCCAACAGTGGCCTGAGGGGCATGTGACTCACAGATGATGTGCATTGCCCAAGTCCATGTAGCCAAGGAGATGCAGGGCTTGGGGCAGACTGAACCAAAGTTTGACACTTTGATCAATAATGGCACTGTGTCATTATTGATCAGCTAGTTTAAAATGTCTGCATGGATGGGCGGGGGTCAAGGAATGATGGTGAAATGGGAAGTGGAAGGCAGGCTATAAATGGATGCACCTGTTCTGTGGAAGCATACATGTAAAGGTTCCTGAGGGGTGCAGGAGAGGTAGAGAGGCTGCACAAAGACCTGCCAACAGCAGGAGTAGAGCAGAGAGTCCTAGTCACACACCCAAGCCTGTTGTCCCCAACACACCTCAGGGCTTTGACCTGGGCTCTTGGACCTGTTTCTGACATTATATGAAGGGACTAAACTAGAGCTGAGCAAACTCCAGGTTTGGCTTCTGCTCTGATGCTCTGTGCCGGTCAAGTCCGCCTCCTTTCTTTGAGACAGGGTCTCACTCTGTCAACTTGGCTGTCCTGGAACTCTGTGTAGATCAGTCCAGCCTTAAACTTCCTGTGCTCTAGATTGATGGGCTTAAAAGTTTACCATGAGGCAATTATCAGTCTCTAAAAAGATTAGTGTGTGTTTGTGTGTACCATTCCTGTGATCCTGCAGAGACCAAGTACTGGAGTACCACTATGCCCATCT